CACGCCTCTGACGTCATCCCCTCTGTCTCCGCCCCCTTTTAATACTAGGGTAAGTCAAAAAGTATTGCTACTAAGGTTCCAATTCATACATGCATGGATTTATTCCAAACTAAACGTATAAAAGAATGTCTCAGTGTTTAGTGAGTGGCTCCAGATAATTTGTCTCTGTAGTTCATTTTTCTTCGTCTCCTTTGAGCACCAAACCCAATGCCTCACAGTGAGTCCTTATAGGACACAAACCAGAGTGTAAAACTTCAGAGAAGTTTTAACTGCCAACCATGTGATTAGCAGTCCAACGCCCAAGTCACAGTGCCCCCCAAGGTACCTTATAAAATACCATACAGCATTAACTTATGGGAAGCCAGTTTCTTAAATGTTTACATTAATTCTCTGGTATGCTACGGTGTGCCATCAAGTCGGTTCCAATTCATAGAGGCCCTGTACATGTTTACCAAGAAGCAACTGGTGGGTTTCAACTGCCAACCCTGTGGTTAGCAGGCCAGTGCTTACCCTATAGCACCACCCCAAAACTAGTCAACACAGTTACTTTTGTGGTCATGTATCATTAGAAGGTGTGGCACTGTGGGTTAATGCACCAGACTGCAAAGTCGTTTGAACTGCTAGGTTGGCGGTTCAAGCTCACCAGTGACTTCTCGGAAACCCTATACGGGGTCACTATGGGTCGGAACTGACTCGACGGCACTTAATAACAATCATTGGAAGGTAATTTCATTTTACCTATCTCCATAGGCTCATAACTAAAAAGTTCACATTTGCTGTTGTTAAGCGCTATTGAGCCGGTTCCAACTCAGCAATCCTGTATCGATGCCCAAAGGCCCTCTCCTTCTCCTGCAGGTCTTGGCTTCAGTATCACCTTCCAAGGAATGGCTAGGAGTTTGAACTTCTGACCTTGCAGTCAGCAGTCCAGTGCTTAGCTTACAGAGCCACGCCAGGACTCTGAAAAGCTCACATCAGGGTTTCTTTTTGTATATATATGTATATTTCTAATCAGAACAGTGGATAATGGAGAACTACTGGAATAAATTCAAGGCAGAGAGCTTGACTCTCAGGTTACACTGATGATCTTGATAGGTATTTGTGAAGGACACATGGAGGTTTATTATGAAGAAGTTTTAAGAAAATGGAAAACTGCATTGCTAAGAAAAAGGCCAGGACAGTTGAGCTGGAGTTTCGTCCTTCATGACAATGCACCTGCTTATTCTTTGAGGGTAGAAAGGTCTGTCCTAGGAGAATCTCACTGGAAACCTTACCCCAGTCACCCTACAGACCTAATCTTACCCTTTTCAGGCTTTTTCTGTTCCTCAAACTCAAAGGAATAATGAAAAGGAACATGATTTGAGTCTCTCAACAGTGCCAAAATGGCTGTTTTGATGTGGCATCAACCAAAGAGGGCAAAATTCTTCAGGAGAAAGCTTCAAGATGGAAACACTGCCTTCAGAGGTGTATAGACCTACATAGAGAGTATGTTAAGAAACACCTTCACATTTTACTTGTTTAATAAAGGTTTCTGATTTTGTAGCAATGCTTTTTGCCCCTGCTCTTGCTCTTCCCTCAGCCTGGACCACTCCATCCCCAGATACCCAAAGGCCCTCTCCTTCATCTCCCACAGTTCTTGGTTTCAATGTCACCCTTGTGACCATTCAGGATAAACTACCTCCCACCCACCCACCCTACTTTTGATCTCCTTAAACTTTCATGGCAGCTGTCACTCCTAACATGATATTCTTCACCTATTAGAGTTCATCTGTTCATTTCCTGTCTCCTTCACGCTGGAACACATGACCCCTCAGGGGGATGTCACACTCATTGTCTTGCATACTGCTGAGTTTTCAGCACCTTGAATGATGCCTGGTACATGGTAGGTGCTCCGTAAATACCTGTCAAGGTCATAAACAACAGCTAACGCTTTCCCTGGCGAGGGTGGTGGCTCCACAGGATCAGTACTGGACTGTGAACCACAAGGTCAGTAGATCAAGGAGAAAGATGACACTTTCTGCCCCTGCAAAGATTTACAACCATGACAACCCTATACAAGGTCTCTATGAGTTGGAACCGACTTGATAGCACTTAACAACAATGTTTTCCCCAGAGAAAGATTGTACTTGTTAGAGAAGGTCAGTGACAAAGAGCAAGATGGATAGAAACAGTGGCCCTCATAATCAATGATACTGCAGGACTGGGCAGTATTTTGTTACACACAACCTCCCTGAGTTGGAAGTGACTTGATGGCACCTAAGAAGCCTAGCAGCACTGTAGATAGACATTGGGTTGCTAACCACAAGGTCAGCAGTTCAAATCCACCAGCCACCCTTAAAAGGCTCTCTCTGCTCCCATAAAGATCTACAATCTCAGAAACTCTATGTAGGGTTGCTGTGAGTTGGAATGGACTTAATGGCAGTAGGTTTGGGGGTTTTTGTTTTCTTAACGGCTTATAAAGTGCCCATTGCCACTGTGCTCGGCTGCTGACCAAAAGGTTGGCAATTAAAGCCAGGTGATCTGCTTCCAAAACATGAGCCATTAAAAACCCTACAAAGCAAAGTTCTACCCAGAGTTGAACACTGAACTCCACAGACGCCATGGCAGCTTGGGCTGTTTTGTGTTTTTTCCCTTTTAAGTTCTTTCTGTATACGGACCCTCTTCAGTAGCAAGCAGACCCTTTGCAGCCGTCTTATTGCACAGATGAGACTGAATTTGGCGAAGGCTCTTGCCCAGGGCCACAAAATCCAGCTGGCATCCTGCACTGGTTCTGCCAAATGGAGAGGATGGCAGTGGGGATTCCAGGGTACTGGGGTGAGGGTAGGAAGGGTGCAGAGTGGGACTCCTGGCTAGGAGATCACTGCTCGGGTCCTGGTCTCCAGTTCTGAGGAAGGTGAAGCCACTGTCTCCTTTTGCATAGCAGGGTTGAGCCAGGGGAACCAGTATGTGAGGTCAGCCTAGGGCAGAGGGACAGGGAGCCAGGATGCAGGATACTTCTGTGGTCTGGGCCTTTATTTCAGGACTGTGAAATTTCCCTGTAAAAAATAACCCTCTGACTATCTTGGGCCCTCCCTTCTACAGGGGATGGTGGGGGGCACAATGAGGAAGGACAAGTCCTGGGCACTGGGTAGAGGGCACCTAAGAACCCTAGAAGCTGTTGTTCACTAAGGGCCTACTATGAATTCATTTAATTCTTCTTAACTGCAAGGTTGGTGGTTCAAACTCAACAGCTGCTCCTCATACAAGATCACTATGAGTCAGAACCAACTGGCTGGTACTTAACAACAAGGTAGTTATTTTATTATGATGCCCATTTTACAGATGAGGCCAACAGAGGCACAGAGTGGGTAGCCTCCTTGCCACAATCACAAAGCTAAAAGGTAGGAGATGCTGGCTCTGCCCTTTTCCACTTAAGGTCCATCCTGCCTCTACCCAACCCCTTCTCTAGTTCCCTACCCACGTTATCAGCTAAGATGTTCCCCACCACTCACTCACTTTGGAACAAGCCCGGGGTTTCATTGAGATAGGTATGGGTTTTGTGTGGGCAGAGACTTCACCTTTAAACCTCAGTTTTCTCACCTGTATAATGGGTCTAGTCAGCCACAACCTGTTGTTGAGGGGTCCTGCCAGGGGGGTTAGACCTTGCATATAAATGCAGACACCAGGAATCAGGCCTGGGGTCCTTGCTTTCCTGCTGGGTACCCATGGGCATGTAACTATTTTATTTGTCTCATCTGTGGCATGGGATTAAAGAAGTCACTGTGGGAATTAAATGAACATCAGACCTTGGCAGAAAGCTGACTACACACTTAATTCTCACACCATAAGCAATTACTTTATTTTCCTCTCAATTTTTCTGCATTAAGGGAAACATTATTGAATACTGGCTCTGTGTTAAGGCCGGTTATAAACAGCCCCATTTATGAACTCCCTGAAGCCTTCTAATTGTGCTTCTCAGAGTATGGGCCCCTGACAAGCATCATCGGCCTCCTGTGAGGATTGTTAGAAATATAAGCTCTCAGCCCTGCCCCAGACCTACGGGATCACAAACTCTGAGGATGAGGCCCAACAATCTGTTTTCCAGCAAGCCCTCCAGGAGACATGATGCAGCTACTGTTTGTTATTGTTACTGTTGTTGTTGTTAGGTGCCATTAAATTAGTTCCGACTCATAGCAACCTTCCGCACAACAGAACAATACACTGCCTGGTCCTGCGCCAGCCTCACATTGTCATGTCTGAGTCCACTGTGGCTGCCCCGTGTCCTTCCATTTCACTGGGGGTCATCCTGTTTTGCTGATCCTCCACTTTACCAAACATTATCTTTCTCACGGGACTGGTCCTCCCTGACAACATGTCCAAAGCACAAGAGACAAAGTCTTAACCATCCTGGCTTCTAAGAAGCCTTCTGGCTGCACTTCTTCTAAAACAGATTTGTTGGTTCTCCTGGCAGTCCCTGGTACTTTCAATCTTCTTCTCCAACACGAGAAACTCCCAAACCAAACCCACTACCTTCAAGTTGATGCTGATTCACAGATATCCAATACTGGGTTTCCAAGACTGTAGATCTGTATGGGAGAAGACAGCCTCATCTTTCTCCCTCGTACAACTGGTGGGTTTGAATCCCTGGCCCTGCAGCTAGCAGCTCAATGCCTAACCAAAGCCACCAAGGCTACTTTCTTAAAACACATGTGTGAGGCAGGTACTATTATGATGCCCACTGAGCAGAGAACTCTGATGCTCAGAGAGGCTCCATGGCTGTTCCAGGTTACACAACTGCTGAATAGCAGAGGTAGGATTTGAACCCAGGCCACCTGCTATTCAACTGTGCACCCAGAGCCCCCACACTGAACTCTGATGATGCCCAGCTGGGTAAGATGCCATGAATCCCTTCAGGGACTCTAGCCCCAGAAAATGGACAGAACTTTCCTCTCTACCATAGAAGGGTCCAAGTGCAACCGCTGACTCCCATGGCTTGCCCAGAGCCCCACAGTTAGAGCCACAGCCATTTCCGACCTTTTATTGGGGCTCTGTCTGGCCCAAATAAATATAATACATTAAACCCAGAGCTCAGGGAATCGTGCACCCCAGGAGGCGCCTTCCGCAACCCCAGCCAGACAAAATAAGTTAGTGGGGGACCTGCCATGGGGCAGGCCAGTTCCTGGGCTGGGCACGCATGCTGGTCTAAAGTGCATCTCGGTTCTGTGGTCCCCACGTTGGCGTGGCCCCCAGCTGGGGCCACTGGGCGGGGTGGGCGGGAGGCCCCCGGCACTCACACCGTGCCAGCAGTGGCCGCCGAGGCTGTGTCCATCTGTGTCCATTTGTGGGGAGTGGCCGTAAGGCCGGGCTTCCTCAGGAAAAGCTGTCATCGGGCCGGGGCTGGGAGTCGAAGGGAGGGTCTGAGGCGGTGATGCCTTGATGCAGCTTCTCCAGCGAGAACTTCATCTAAGAGAGAAAGGGGCGGGAGAGGGGTGGGGTGCCGGTGGGTGTGACGCCCCCAGCCCCACTTTGCAGCTGAGGAGGTGGGGAGGGCACAGAGACCACGCCCCTACTAAGGTCACCCGGTGAGCAGAGGGGAAGCACACTGCTCTCAGGTTGTGAGTGAAGTGTGCCCCAGATCTGCACGGCCTGGGTTTCCAAATCTTGGCTCTGCCATTTGCAGAGTCCTTTAACCTGGGCCTAAGCTCCCAGAACTGAAAAATGGGTCAATCATAAACATGCTTCACAGGATTCTTTTGGGGAGTTGATGGGTGATCATCTAGAACCTGGGACACAGTAAATGCTTCCAGGCACCTTAGGCAAGAATGTGTCAAGCCTTGGTGTTCCTGTCTAGAAGTGGGGGTATAAGAGCATCCTCCTCAGAGGGGGGCTGTGGGGCTCACGTGTATTTATTACATAGAGACTGCCTGTAGCCTAGTTCAAGGTTAAATGCTCGATCCACATCTACTTTTTTAATCCACTTTGAAATCCACTCTGTGCCCTTAGCAATTTGAGAGGAAGAAACAATTAGAATTTATCTCAGGAAGAGGGGGCCTTACAAACCTCTCTAAGCAATGGGGTCCTGGTCTTCATCCTTCCCCACTGCGTCCCAGGGGCATGTCCCACTGTGTGTCTCCGAGTGTAATTTTAGGGTGCTATGAGCCCCTGAAATGCAGCCCAACCCCTGGGCTGAGGCTACTATAAGGGAATGACCACCTTCCATTTCCACCATGTCATCCCCCACCAGCCAATGCCATCTTCCCCCACTTCCCAGGACTCACTGCGATCTTACAGGACTAAATCTTCATGGAACCAGACCTCAGCTTTCTCCCTCAGACTGGTGAGTGGAATTGAACTACCTACCACCTGACGCTTAGTCCACAGCACCACCAGGGCTCCTTAGGTGCCACACACACAAGGGCCCTAGAATTGCCCAGCCCACCCACAGTGCCATCTGGGGCCGACTGAGGGCCTCACTGTACAGGGACTTGCTCATTTATTGAGCACCTACTGTGTGCCCGGCAGCAGGCACCATTAATAACAGCAAACCCATAGAAGGTATTTGTTATGTGCCAGGTATGATTTAAAATACGAACTCATTTATCTCTTCCTACAGTCTGGGAGCAACATCAATTAAAATCCCAAGGGGAGGAAACTGAGGCCTGAGTGATCATTTGTACCAGGTCACACAGAATTTGAACCTGGTCATCCATAGTGCTGCCCTGGAAATACGAGGGGGCTTCAAAAAGTTAACAGGAAAATTCTATTCTCTTTTCATCCTACTTTTGTACAAAGTTCCCTTGTATAGGGAACATCAGTGGCAACCCCCCGTCTGGAGATAAGTCTCTTAACTTCCTTTAGAGAAACCATCCTCCATCTTCAAATCATGTGGCCTCCTTGGCCCCACCCCTGGCAGCTGTGATTTGCTGAGCTGAGCCTGGAATAACAGCAGGGCCAATGAAAGTGAACTGGATGTCAGCCAGGGGCTACGGGTGCCACCCTTATCTTGGGGAAGAGGATGTTGTTGTTAAGTGCCGTTGAGCCGGTTCCGACCCATAGCAACCCTGCACAGGGTTTCCAAGGTTGTCAATCTTTAGTTGAAAGCCTCATCGTTCTCCCGCGGAACCGCAGGTAGTTTCGAACTGCTGACCTTGAGATTAGCAGCCCGATTCGTAACCACTACGCTACCAGAGCTCCTTGGGGAAGAGGATATCCTCAGACAAAGCTAGATCCAACCAGACCTGAAGCCTGGGCTGTTTTCCCATATGTGAGCCTCAATCTCAAAACCTCACACTCACTGCCATCATGTTTATTCTGACCCAGCGACCCTCTTCAAGGTTCCAGAACTGTACGTCTGTACAGGAGCAGAAAGCCCCATCTTTCTCCTATGGAGCGGTTGGGGGGCTCGAACTAAACGAACTAACCTATGGTTAATTGTTATTAAGTGCTGTCGAGTTGGTTCTGACTCACAGTGGCCCTGAATAGGGTTTCCAAGGAGCAACTGGTGGGTTTGAACTGCCGACCTTGTGGTTTGCAGTTCAGTACGGACCCTACAGTGCCATACTAGAAAGTCCCTATGGTTAGTAATCCAGTGCTTATCCTACAATTCTAGTATGTGAACCTGTTGTTGTTAAGTATAAGGTTTCCGAGGAGCGGCTGGTGCGTCTGAACTGCCAACTTTGTGATTCAAACCAACCATGCGGTCCAGTGCATTATCCCAATTTCTACCCCCTGGATTTTTCCAGTGGGGCTATGAATGGTTTCCCTAGCCTATGGATGAGGGCAGTGGGGCCCCGAACCTAGCTGCCCAGCCTTCTCTGAAGCCAGGTGCCTGAAGGCCTAGGCCCCACCCCTCCCACCTCGTCCAGAAGCTCCACCGATGCCCGTAGGATCTGCCTCCACTTGTGCACCTCCACGCTGTGGAACTGCTTCTGCAAGGCCAGGACCTCCGCCCACTCCGTGGGGGTCTGGGGGAATTTGCTGTGGGGAATGCACGGTCTGAGTGAGGGTTTGGCCTCCCCGCAATCTGCTCAAGTCTCCCCAACCCCCTAAGACTCCCCACTTACCCCTTGGCCAGGGCCAGACTGTGCCAGGACTCGAAGGTGTGGGCTGTCCTCTCCAAGGACCAGAGGCGGTAAAAGAGGAGGACATTGAGGGCGATGAGGATGATGAGGCTGGGGGCAGGGGTCAGAGGTCAGAGGTCAGGAGTCCTAGGCACTGATCTCTAGACCACCCACACAACCGTGCCTTGAAGGGGGGGACAATAATTACTACTTTTTCTGAGGAAACAAAGGCTCAGAGAGGGGGCATAGCACGCCCCAGACCACACAAAGATCAGGACTCCAACCCGGGCCCATCCAGTGCCCACATCCTGAACTGCCAGGCAGGGCTGCCTCACTGTGAAAGCTGGGGGCACAGAGTCGGGGGGTGGGGGGGGGAAGGATGCAGGAGGAGGGGAGACACGGGGGTGGGAGGGGTGCAGGATGCAGGATCCTACCTCACACAGATCCTGTGGAGGCAGTGAAGGGGGAGACAGAGAGATGAGAGCTGCCCAGCCCATCCTAACCAACCCTCTTAATCCCAAACCAAGCATATCAGCCAGCCCCTGGTGCATTGGTTTTGATGTGAAGTTAGGTCAAGTGGCTATGTAGCAGATCGGTCCCTCCCCTCCCATGGTCTACTCAAAGCACAGAGACCTTGTCCCCCATTGTCCATGCGTCTTGATCTCCCACATCTCTAGGCTTCTCTGTTGGGAGAGGGCTGCAGATCGCAAGTCCTGTCCAGCCACCCACCCCATCTACCAGAGCTTGGTGGAAACTTCTGGACTCCCACAGCCTGGGGAAGCCTGGCTCCTCTCCCTGAGTCCCAACCCCCGTCACTTTGGTCTGGGATCAGTTGTTTCCCTCCAGGACTGTTGGTCACCTGAGTCCTCAGCATCACCCCGCTTAGATGCTGGGTACACAAAATGTGTGTCGAATGTCACTTGCTCTAACTGGCCTCTTTTACACCCCTCTTCTTGTCCACCCAGATGATGCCTCATCCTTAAAGCACCCTCTGACCCCCCAAACCCCCACCACTACCTTTCACTCTCCCAGCTGATAAACTGAGCACCCCCAGTGTCTTCTCATTAGACCCTCACTGCAATAGGGCCCCAGCTCCCACCTCCACAGAGAGCCCCAAGGACACACACCCAGGCCTCTGGGACCCCACTCCCCACCCCTTACTCACACAATGCTGATGAGAACGAGGGCGTTGGGGACACCTGCCCCAGGACCCTGGTCCATGGACGGTTCTGAGAAGCGGGAACTAAGGGAGCCTGTGGGTGAGCAGCTTGGGGTCAGAGAAATGTCTCCCAGGTTATGCCAGCCCAGGCAACTGTTCCCCCTTCTGACCACCCTGACCTGAGATGTGAATGCCAGGCCGGGAGCAGGGATCAGGCTCAGGGTGCTGGGGGCCATCACTGTGACCCCTCCAACTCAGGGGCCGCTTCCGTCTTCGCAGGCCTGACAGCAGGCCTCGGGCATCCTTCCCGCTCTCCTCCAAGGAAAGCTTCTCAGCCTTGGCCAGCTCTCGCTCTGCAAAAAGACAGAGTTCTGGGGCTCTGCACCTGGCCAGGCCATGCCTTGCCCTGCCCGGCCCTGGCCTCCTACCCAGGCGGTGGAAATACTCCTCAATGCCGCTCCACGAGTTCTTCTCGATGAGCGACTTCACCAGGCTCCAGGGCTGCTTGCGGTAACGGATCTCAGAGGACACTCTGGGATTGAGGGACAAGGTAAGGGGAGGGGATAAGGGTCCGACCCCAGTCCTTGATGTTCCCATTCCTCAGGCAGGGTCCCTCAAGTCCCTGCTGTGGTTTCTCCATGACCCCCCACTTATCTCATCCAGCATACTGGTCAGTTCAGCCCTCCACCCACACCCACTCTCTCGGCAAGTCTCCTGGCTTGAAGAGCTGCCTCAACGCTATCTACTTCGGAGTTGAAGTTCCAGGGTGAGATCCGGACTATAGGTTTGACAGCAGGCAGCTAATGCCATTAAGGGTCTGAGAGCAACCGCACCTTATCAAAACCAAGCTCGGTCTCTCCCTCAACCTCCTCCTCTCTGTGTCTCCCACCTCAGTCAACAAGCAATCCAGCTGTCTAGTGGCTCATGTCCAATACCTCAGGGTCTTCCTTGACCCCTCTTGTCTTCACACCCATATCCAACCCGTTAGCAAACCCCATTAACTCTGCCCACAAGGTTGAGCCAGAGTTGAAATTTTCCTCCCTTCCATTGCCCCTACACTGTTCCAGCCTCTTCCCTGGTCTCCCTGCTCCTGTCCTGTCCGTCAGTTGGCTCCTCACACAGCCAGAGGGAGCCTGGGAACTCCTGAGTCCATTCAGGGTCCTTGTAGGGTTGAGGCATGTCCAAGTTGGTCCTGACTGCAAAGGACTCTGGGGTAGAGCAAGTGACTGACCGGAAAGTAAGCCCACTCCCTAGTCAGACAGGACTTTAATCAGACTCTCTTCTCAGCCTCCCTCCCCTCTGGAGCTAACGTCCATGGTGGGAAGCGGTACTATCCTCTAAATGGGAGTTTATTGCAACGTGAGTCCACTCCATCTGGCTTCGACTGCCTGTTTTAGGAATCTGATCCAAACTGTTCCAAAGGCACGTTGGGGCTGCTTCAATGCTTTAAACAGTGGGTAGTGCATGCAAGCAGAACTTTGGTGAAGATAATTTAAAAACTGGCCGCCACAGTACACGGAAAACAACTGCCAGAGGTTTAAGCCAGATTCAGATGACGTCGTGGAACTACAAGGGATATTAGAGCTGACGTCAGCTGGATCTTGGCTGAAGCAGAGAATACCAGAAAGATGTTTACCTGTGCTTTATTGACTACGCAAAGGCTTTCGACTGTGTGGATCATGACAAGCTATGGACAACATTGCAAAGTATGAGTATTCCGGAACACTTAATTGTGCTCATGAGGAACATGTACCAAGATGCAATTGTTCAAACAGAACAAGGGAACAGTGAATGGTTTAAAATTAAGAAAGGTGTGCGCCAGGTTATATTCCTTCACCATACTTATTTAATCTCTATGCTGAGCAAATATTTCAAGAAGCTGGAGTATATGAAGAACGTGGCCTCAGGATTGGAGGAAGACTCATTAACAATCTACAGATGATACAACCTTGCTTGCTGAAAGCAAAGAGGGCTTACTGATGAAGCTCAAAGACCACAGCCTTCACTGTGGTTGAACCTCAATGTAAAGAAAACAAAAATCCTCACCACTGGACCAATAAATAACATCGATATAAATGGAGAAAAGATTGAAGTTGTCCAAGACTTCATTTTGCTTCGATCCACCATCAACACTTATGGAAGCAACAATCAAGAATTCAAACAACGTATTACATTAGGCAAATCTGCCACACAAGACCTCTTTAAAGTGTTAAGAGAGAAGATGTCAGTTTGAGGACTAAGGTGCACCTGACCCAAGACATGATACTTTCAATAACCTCCTATGCACATGAAAACTGGACAATGAATAAAGAAAACTGGAGAAGAGTTGCTGCATTTGAGTTATGGTTGGTGTTGGAGGGGAGTATTGAAAGTACCACGGACTGCCAGAAAAACAAATTTGTGTTGGAAGAAGTAGCACCACAATGGTCTTTGGAAGCCAGGATGGCCAGACTTCATCTCTCATACTCCAGACATTATCAGGAGGGACCAGTCCCTGGAGAAGGATATCATGCTTAGTAAAGTGGAGGGTCGGAAGAAAAAGAGGAAGACCCCCATGAAATGGATTGGCACAGTGGCAGCATCAATGGGCTCAAGCGTAGCAACAATTGTGAGGCTGACACAGGACTGGACAGTATTTCGTTCTGCTGTGCATAGGGTCGCTATGAGTCAGTGCCGACATGATGGCACCTAACAACAGTGCAGTGGGTTAAGCATTGGACAGCTAACTGCAAGGTTGGCGGTTCAAACCCACCAGCCACTCTGCAGGAGATAGAAGAGGCTCTCTGTTCCTATAAAGATCACAGCCTCTGAAACTCTAAGGAGCAGCTTGACACCGTCATCACTGAGTTGGAGTCAATTCAAGGGCAGTGGGTGGGCTCAGCGCTCGACTAGTGCGCAGCAGGATGCTATCAGCCTTCCCCTGGCTGCACCTCAGTCAAGGCTGAAGCCTAAGTTCTCACCAGGGTCCCCGAGGTCCTACTTGACCTGGCTGTTGCCTGCCTCCCTAAGCTCACCTAAGCTCCCCTTTTACGTCTGTGTTTCAGCCATGCTTCCTTCCCCTGTTCCTGTCTCAGGGCCTTTGCACGAAGTGTTCTGCATGAATTGCTCCCCTACACCTAACAACAACATCCTTCTTGGTGAGCTCGCCTTCTCAGAGTGCCCTTCCCCGAGCACATTATTTAGAACAGGAGCCTCCTCAGACCCTCTCCTCACACTCTAGCCTGCTGTGCTTTCTCCAGAGCCCTTAGCGTAGATTTATGTGATGATGAGTCTGTTACCCAATTCTGCACTACAGCATGAGCTCTGTAAGACGGCACGCCGTCTGGTTTTGCTGTCTCTCCAGTGCCTGAACAGTGTCGGGCTCGAAGCCGGACTGCTCACCTGCACATTTAGTGACTTCTGGCAGCTCAAACACCCTCTGCAGACGGGGATCCTATTTTATGGGAGTACCACCCTCTCCTGGTCTCTCAGGGGTCTCAAGGACCTTCCTTCACCCCCGAGTTAGCACTTCTGTTTCTCTAACCAGGTGGAGACCACAGTTCTGAGGCTGCCATGGGGTGAGAGGGAGAGGCCGGGCCTCAGCTCACCGGAGACGGGCCTTGTTGCGGGCCAGGCCCAGGATGCAGTAGCGGTGGGCAGTGTAGAAGTAGTCCTGGTAAGGGATGCCTTGCGTCAGCACCTCAGAGTCTACCACACAGCCACCTGCCTGTGGACCGCGCCGGAACAGTGTCTGAGAGGACATGGGAGAGGAAGGAGGGTCAGAGCCCACCCCACCTGGCCACCCTGCCATCCCACTCCATCAGCCACCCCACCTGTGTCTCCACCACAGAAGCGCTCTTGGGGCCCAGTGGGTTGCTGATGGGGATGGTGTAAGTCAGCACTCGTCGCTGATGGCTCTTGCTGTCCCCGCTCCAGGGACTGAAGGTCACATCTGAGGGGGGTGGGGGGGAACAGAATGAAGAAACCAGTCTTCAGTTCTTGGACTACAAGCTGTAGGAAACTCGGTCTTGTTAGCAGTTCCAGTTCTCTGGAAACCTGCTCCTCCTCTTGGTCACTATCTTGGTGGCTGGTCCCAGTCGTCTGGGCACCTAAGACTCAATGTTGGTGACTCTCAGACCTGGGGCCTCTCTTCTCCTCACACTTCTCCTCCCTCCTGGGATCACCTCATCCAGTCCTGCAGCCTCAGTTTCTCCTCTCTATAGCAGCCCTGGCTAATCCCTTAAACCTTAGACCTGAGATCCTACACTCGTAAACACTTCTCTATAGAAGTCCCCTGGGTCCTTCACACCTACTGGGCCCAAACTGGCCTGAGTGTCTCCCTAAACCTGCCTTTCCTCTTGGTTCTCATCTCAAACTTGACCCCACCAGCCCTGAATCTCCCGCCAGTCTTGGACTTCGCCCTGCCCACCTCTCTTCCCCAGATGCAGCCTTCTGAGCAGCATTCCTGGGCTTACTTGTGTCCTTTTCTCCGGCCTGCCCCTAGGCTCCTGGTCTCCATCACCCCTCTGCTCCAGGACTGTCTTCTGAAAGCCCAACCTGACCCCTGCCCCTTTCCATAGATCCCAGCATTCCCAGTTTGATGTATCAGCAACTCCAGGATGTAAGAACAGTTTCGAGGAACTTGTATCCACCTAACTCAAAGAACCCTGACGATGCTCTAAGACATGCACTGAACTGTACGGTTGGCAGTTCAAACCCACCAGCTGCTCTGCAGGAAAAAAAGATGAGACTTTCTGTTTCCCTAACAATTTACAGCCTCAGAAATCCTATACGGGGCTGCTATGAGTGGGAACTGACTCCATGACAGTTGGTTCGGGTTTTTTGGGTTAAGTCAAGGTACGAGCTTATAGACTCAGCAGGGGATTTTCTCGGTTCATTTTCACCAATATAGGAAACAGACAGCAAGGAGAGTTACCACTCGACTAGCCTCTAGCTGAATCTCTCCTGCAGCCTTCGAGCTCTTCGGCTGGTCCCACGGTCAAATCTTCAACCTCACCTGGTACTGTGGCATCCACACTCCAGACCTAACCAGGGCAGCCCAGCCTCCAGGGACATCCTCAGTGGCTGTGTCCAGACTTGGGGCCATTGTAGATACCATGCCTGCCCTGTGGATTACTCCTCTCCACCCCAACACCTGGACCTGGCGAACCTCAGTTCACAGATGTCCCCTGGCTCTGACAACCATCTAAGCTGCTTTATGCCACATCACTCCGGGGTGGGATGGTCCTTAATTGTGTCATATGTCCTTCTCACTAGACTCGGGGTGCGGAAGATCAGGACGCATCTTCCCACAGGGGCGCTCAGACATTAACTCACTCTCATGAAGCACTTCCTGGAGCCCAGGTGGAGAAATGGGTTACGCACTGGGCTGCTATGTACAAGGTCTACAGTTCAAACGCACCAGCCACTCTGTGTAAGAACGATGAGGCGGTCTGCTCCGTCAAGGCTGATAGTCTGGGAAACCCTAAGGAGCAATTCTATGCTGTTCTTACGCCACAGTTGCTACAAGCCGGAATCAACTCGCCGGCAGTGGGTTTCGCTTGCAACGGGGTGGCGTGCCAACATACTACTGTGGTTCTAGGCGCTTTTCTAGCCTTAGCTCTTTAGGGTCTCATGAGAACACAATGAGGCGGGTACTATTAGCACACCCCTCTTCTACAGAATAGGAAACTGCAACATAGAGTGATTCCGAAACCTGCCTAAGATCCAAACCCCACTTTTAGCTTCCCCACCCATCTTCAGAAAGTGCCCACCTTGGGGGTTGGCGGGGCACCCCACCCCCTGACCTGTGAAGTTGCACTGCTTCAGAAAGCCCTGCAAGAAGGACGAGTCCGAGAAGAGCATCTGCAGGAGGCGCTCGGCCCCTACGTGGAAGACGGTGTTGATGAGGAGACGGCCCGAGAGGTCAGGAAGCAGGGCGGCCAGGTCAGCTGGGAGACAGAGAGGGAAGTAAAGGCTGCTGGCCTCCTCTGCGAGGCAACTTCCTGGGTTTCCCCCGGAGACCACTCTTCCTTATTCCCAGGCCTTGTGTGGATGGACAGGTCTATCTGCTGAGCCAGAATGGATGGTATCGCCAGGCACAGCCAATCAGAGCCACCATGACTGTTCAGGTCGGTTCACACACCTAGCTCCAGCCAATCCCAGTTAATTTGAGGGGTGGGTATGTGCTCCCAGGCCCGCGATTGGTTCAAGGGTGGGCTCTGCTCCACGTTGGACCAATCAGAAAGCTTTTGACCAAGTTGGTCTGAGGCAGGACAGGGACTGTCACTGCCCCCACACAAAAAAAAACTGCTACCTGAGAATGAAGCCAACACAGGAAATGAAACTAGCCCAGAGGAAATAACAGCTAACACTTAGACTAATGGTTGACAAGCATGAACTCTACCTCTCAACAAAGCTGTAAGTTGGGGGCTGTTTTTATTAAGGAGCTCTGGTAGGATAGAGGTATGAGTCTGGTTGCTAATCTTACAGTTAACTGCTCGAAGTTACCACCGGTTCCGCCTGAGAAAGATGAGGCTTTCTGCTCACACAAAGATTTACAGCCTTGGAAACCCTGTACAGGGTCGCTAGGAGTCAGAACCGACTCCACGGCACACCACCACCACACCACCGTTTTTATTAAGCCCATTATTCAGATGAGAAGAGTGAGTATCAGGGAGGTTAAATCATTTGCCCAAGTTCCCAGCTATAATGTGGGGTGGCCAGGATTTGAACTCTGGTGATTAAGCTCCACAGGTAGTGTTCTGTCTAACCTGCTATGCTACCTCTGAAGCAGAACCAAGAGACAGACAAACAGACAGACAGACAGATGTCTAACATGGTCTGAAGGCCTGGACCAGGCCATGTCTGCCCACCCTGGGTGGTATAGTCCCAGTCTGTGTCCTCCACCACAGTTAAATTTGTCCTATGTCACTGAAGTGAATGGACCAAGGGTCCCTCTGCCTCACCTTCCTCCCCTGTGGATGACGAAGAGTTACTTGTGTCTGTCAATAGCTCCTCGCTGGGCAGCAGATCTAAGGGGCCCAGGGCGGTGGGCTCATTTGGCGGAGAGGGCTCGGCACTCGGGGGTTCAGCCACTGGGGTCACTGTCTGGCTGGAGGAGGCATCCGGTTGGCTGTCTGTCTGTTCTTCCTTCTCCTCCTCTGCCTACAGAGAAAGGCTTAGTCCATCCCTGTCTCCTCTCTACAGTCTGCGGGCCCTCCGTGCCCCACACTAGAACGCACCTAGGTCTCAGTCAGGAAAACCCAGGCTGCGGGGTGGACAGACCATGGAGGGCTTACATCTGAGCTGGGTGGGGCTGTGGGACCACACGCTTTCTTCCCTGTCCTGTCCATCTATCCCATGCCTTATCTTTCTACCTGTCCTTGTGTTGTCCCCCTTGACCTGTCTCTCCTCCTAACAACCCCATTTCCATCCATCCATCCTTCCCCCATCCTTCCATCATCCATCTCTTTCCCATCCTCTGTCCATCCCCACCACTGACCTTCTATCCTCCCACCCCATTCATCTGTCCATCCCCTCCTTTGTGTCCCCAAGTCTGTCCATCTCTACCTCTCTCCTACCCCACTGCCAGGCTTCCTCTCTCCTACCCCACTGCCAGCCTTCCAGTCTCTCTCTGGAAATACCCTCCTCACCCCATGGTCTGCATCGCTGCTGGCCCGTGAGAGGTTGGGGGTGATGTGACCACGGCGAGAACCCACTGGGCTTGGCTCCTGGCTGTGGTCAGCTGCCCCTGGCGGAGTAATGTCACTCAGAGCGATCACCTCTCCAACCTCCTTGGGGCTCCTGTAGGCAAAGGGAGAAAGAGAGAAGCTACTCAAGTGGCCTGTAGACCCCATACAACCCCTCTGGATCTCTCAGTCCACCCCAGACTCCAGCCCATGCCGCTCTCCCCAACCCAGGAACCTCCCCAACCTCTGACTCACCCCAGGCCGTTGAGCTGCAAGGGGCAGACATAGTCTTCATCTTCGCTGGTGAGGCCCAGCTCTGAACCGTAACACTGATGTACCAGGTGCCAGAGCTCACGGGGACTCAGCGTCTAGTCAGGCAGACAACCAGTTGACCTCAACCTCACTGGGGCCACCCGTACCCACAGCCAGCACTCAAGCCTCAGCAGTTCCATTGGTCTCCACAAGGGGGAGACCAAAAACAGTCTAGCTCCTGTCTAGGCTGTTTTGTCCCTTTTAACTATGCATTTCCTGGGGTGTCCTCAGGAGTCCTGGCACTTCATCTACCCACAGCCAGTGTGGCCACAAGACAATGATACAGTAATTGTACGAATAGCAGTAGTTGTAGCAGCAGCTGACATTTACTGAGTGGTTATAATGCACCAGGCGCTTTTCCAACCCCTTCATATGTGCGAATTCACTGAGTCTCCAAAGCCATTGTGTTAAGTAAGTGCTGAGACTATCATCGTTTAAAAATGGTGATGCTCAGGCAGAGAGGAGCTGTCATGTGCCCATGGCTACCAAACTAGGAAGTGGAGTGCTGTGCTGTGGTCTCAGGAAGGCTGGTCAGAGCTGTGGAATTTCTCCTACGAGGCCCTTCCTCAAAGACCTGATACCACTGGCCACTTAAATCTCTGTGAAGTGGGCTCTGTTAGGCCAGTATTCCCATTTGATAGAGGGAGATCAACAACTTGTGCAGTGATGAGTCTGGGGACTTGAATCCTGGTAGTCCGGCTCTAGGACCTAAGTTTTAACTCTCCTTGGAAACCTTGGTCCTGCCTTGTCCTTCTCTTGCCCCTGAGGATGGTCACAGCTGGAGCAGCCCCACAAAGTGAGTGCAATTCAGCTGGAGAAGATAGTTTTGGGTGCTGTAGACCACCAACAGCAAGCGCTGTGTGATGGTACCCAACAGATCCATCTTCCCTCCCGGTCAGCAAAACCCTTATTTTGTTCAGGGTGAAAAATCTTCCCCAGCTCCAGGGATGAATCATGATTAGTTTATGTCCCATTCCTCTTCCCTCTGTCAGATATTCCACTCCCTGCTCCCTTCATAACTGGAGGTCACCTGACCTTCGTGTAACAAGAAGAAGGGAAAGAGAAATTGACTAAACAAGGCTAATATCCTTCTCTGTTGTTGTGGTTAAGTGCCATAGAGTCACTTCTGACCCACAGCAACCCAGTGTATGGTTTCCAAGGAGCGGCTGGTGAGTTTGAACCACAGACCTTGCAGTCCAGCACATTATTCTGCAGCACCACACCAGGAGGACCCACTTAAAGAAAAGCTCATTGGGGTGTACCATCATTTTACAAAGTAGAAATGGCTCCTGAAGTCATTGGTATACTACACACTGGGTACTACAGGATGGCTTTATATTTATTTATAATTATATAAATAATTATACCCTGGACACATGTTTCTGCCTTTAAGTATAAAACGAAGTTAAAATTAAATAAAATATAACTTTCATTTGCACTAGCCACCTTTTAAGTGCTCAGGTGGCTTGTTGTTGTTAAGTGCCAACAAGTTGATCCCGACCCATAGCCACCCGTATAGGGTTTCGGAGGAGCGGCTGGTGAGCTTGAACTGCCGACCTTGCATATCAAACTGACTTTGCAGTCCAGCACATTAACTCACAGTGCCACACCAGGACTCCACTTAGGTGGCTAGTAGCTACCATATTGGGCAGCACAGTAGAGACTATTAGGGGGGCTTCAACATATTTGTGGAAAAGTGGAATTGAAAGATTATGCAACATTTCCGTGAACTCTTTAAAGCCCTTGTATTTTTTTTATCAGAGTCAAATATTCTTAGATAGTGTTGATAAGCAAACTGAATCAAACCCACTGCCCCTAAGTCAACTTGACTCATAGTGATCCTATACAGGCTTTCTAAGACTCTTAACTCTTTACAGAAGCAGATAGCCTTATCTTTCTCCCCAAGAGCAGTGGGTGTGTTTGAACTGCCAACCTGGCAACTGACAGCCCAACGCTCATCCCACAGCACCACCAGGGTTCCCTGGAGTGTTTGTTGTTGTTCTGACTCACAGCGACTTTCCAAAGAGCGGCTGGTGGGTTTGAACCACTGCCCATGCAGTTCAAACCAACCTTGCGGCCCAGTGCATTACCCTGCAGTGCCACACCAGGATCCCATGATAGTGTTGATATAGACAATAAATAACCACATGCTAGTTCATGTCAGATTTTGCTGCTAAGCATTCAAAAAGTGCTCTCATTTTCAGGGCAGTTTTGATCTGCAGACGGTTGGCTAAGGGGCAGTGGATGTACATTCCTTAAAGGCAGGGGCTGACCCTGGAGCCCTTGGCTGTCCCCTGACAGGGTCTACAGAGGGAACAGTGGGTACTTTGGGTCTGGCGGCCAGGGAGAAAAGCTCTGAATTATTCCAGCTCCCTAAATCCTGGCACCCCTAATTCTCCATCCCCACCCCATCCTGGCTTCAGTCAAGCCCACCTTTTCAAGTAGTGCATTCTGCCAGAGGCGGAAGATGAGGAGGAAGCAGCGGTCCCGGGCCCCAAAGGACGTGAAGAAATGCTGCAAGAAAGAGGGGTATGAGGAAGGTGGAGGGAGAGAGGAAGGAGAGCATCATGGGAGTCCTTGCTCCTCACACTGGCCCCGTCGCTAGCCATTCATTACGCAGCATGTTAACCGTGTGCCTGTCCCAAGGCAAGTGACGCTGAGGTCACCAGAGTGAAGAGACAGCCCCGGCTCTGTCCTCAAAGGGACTTACAGTCCTGGGAGAGAGGGAGACTCTTCTCTAGACATGGAGGCTCAGAGTAATGATGGGAGAAGAGCTGTAATGAAGGAAACCCAGAGTCCATTCTCAGCCTCCTTTGCCACTGTTGTTCTTAAATGCCACAAAGCAGGCTCCAACTCACAGTGACCCTGTACAGGGCTTGTGAGGAGGACCTGGTGGGTTTGAACCGCTGACCTTGCCTTTAGCAGTCCAGTGCTTATCCGAAAGTGCTACACTAGGGATAGTCCATTGACACACTTTGGGCCAACAACACAAAATGGGAAGTCGGCTGTGAGATCTTTCCTCTATTTCCTTCCTACTTCCTGTTTGGACCTCTGGTGTGAGGCAGCCATCTTGTGACCGTGAAGTAGCAGGCATGAGGGCAGAATTCAGAGTCTGGGAAGGCTTCCAAGGGGAGGAGGCAGCTGAATTGACAGTTATATGGAAGGGAAGAATTTCTCTATTAACACGAACCCTGAGCAGCTGTGTGCGGGGTGAATTTCAGGGAGAGAGATGGGAGGCTAACGTAGAGATCCAGATCAAAGACAATGGGAACCAGGGTCAGAACGGGGCTGGGACAATGGAGAGAAAGCCAACCAAGAGACGTTCAGGATGCAGAATCAACAGGGCTTGCCTTGGCTGGCTTTGGGGCTAAGGGGAGGCAGGAGCCCTTGGTATAGGTTCACCTTCTCGCTCTCTGTGCAGATCTGAATGGCATTGGGGATCAACTTGGCTGTCTTCTCCTTCTTCAGACAGGTTACCTCCTTCAGCTGGATAGAAATCTGGAGAGACAAATTCGGACTCAGAAGGGGCCTGGGGCCTGCCCACCCGAGGCCCCACCTCATGCCCTGCTCCTTGACTCACTGTGGTCTCCCAGCGGAAGATGTTGCTGTAGAAACAAATCCAGTTCTCGGAGAGATAGAGGCGGCCCTGAAGGAGGATCTCGCGCTGCAGAGCACAGGAGTAATCTGAGAGCGGCGGAGGGGAGAGACAGGCAGACACTCAAGTCACACGGCTGGCCTGGCCAGCACAATACCCAGCCAGGAGAGAGAGCTGGGAACTCAGGGACAAGGGGTCAGGGGTGGGAGGTCTCACCCACAATGAGGCGTTCTGCTTCTGGGAGCTTGCTGAACAGTTTCCGGAAATCTTCATTCCGCTGTTTGTACGTGGGGCTTAGCATCTGGGGGAAGTGGAGGTGAGAACTGGAGTGAGTAGGGGCTTAGGTGCCCCACCCCACCCCATTCCATCCCATAATACTCCCAGAACCCTCCAGTCTCTCCTCAGTCCCCAACAGCGTCTGGCCCATTGCTGGCTTCTGCTGCTCCTAACAGCTGTAATAGTAATCCTATGGAAAGCTGCCACTTTACTGGTTTGTTCTATCAGCTGGAACCTGTGGCTGGTACTCACCAGCCATCTCTGATTCTCACTGAATATTCCCTTCAGCTTTATAAGGTCAGGACTGTTGCTTATGGAGAAGGAATGAGGCCAAAAGAGGTGAAATGACCCACCCAAGATAATGCAGCAGGTAAATGACAACATAGCATGTCTCATCCTGGGAATGCTGACCCTAGCAGCCACCCTTTCACTGCTGCAGCCTGGGGATACACACACACCTCCTTGCCTCCAGGCCCAGCAAGCTCCCTGGCGCAGATACTTACACTGTACCAACTCTGCATCTTCTGCAAGAGAGAGGAAAGGAGTCAGAATGAGTCCCTGGATCCACCCCCACCCCTACCTCCTTCCCTACCCCACCAGGACAGGCACCAACCTTGCTGTTTCGGATGAAGTTCCGGCTGCCCATGCTTTGGGTACTAGGGGTCCCAGGGACTCCCCCTTTCTCTGAGGAGCTGTCTGACCCTTTCTCTACCATGCTGCCTGGTTCAGGCTCAGGTGGGGACCGGCTTGAGGGCAGGAGTTGCAGCCGCTTACGGAGAGAAGGGGAGTTGCTGGGCGTGCTCCGGCCGGAGTGGGGGGTGGTGCTGGGAGGGCAAAGGAAAAGAGGCATTGTGGGAAAATGCAGATGGGGGCATAGGAACAGAGCCTATTTTAGGAGACTACTCATCAGCTCATTGATCTTTATCCACCCCCACCCATCTGTCAAAGGCTCCATCTATCTTCCCATCCACCCACTACCCTGTTCTATCTATCCTCTCTGTGCAACATTCATCTGTTATCTAGGGATGATACATAAACTTCTCTGTCTGGCCTTTTGAAGGATTAAATGAACCAATCTATGTAAAGTACTAACAGTATCTCAAAATGTTGTGTGCTATTGCTTCTGACTCATAGTGACCCTGTACTCAGGGTTTCCAAGAGTAGTTGGTGGGTTTGAACTGCTGACCTTGCAGTTAGTAGTCCAATGTTGATTCTACAGTGCCACATCAGGGCTCAAGCTCTCAAGAGTGGCTACTGTTTCTTTTTTAACATATTCTTTCATTTCAACACTATTTACTACATGTATCCTCCTCTCAAGTTTCTTGAGCCAAAATCCTAAACAGCGCCACCTCCAAAACCGATTTCCATTGTATCCACTTCTCCCGATCCACAGCTCCCGGCCTGGTCCCACCTGTGTGTGAGTGAGTCCAGTCTGGACTATCTGCCCCTCCTCGGCTCCAAAACTCACTGACTCCGTCTTATCATTCTCATTCAATTCAAACACTCCTCCCTCCATGGCCACCAAATCCAAAACACACACACACACCCTTCCCTTCTGTCACATCTCACAGGATCTAAAATCCTCCTGTTCATGCCTCAGACCAGGTCTAGGTTGTTTGTCACTGTGTCCCCAGCTGTACCCAACAGGGCAACAGTGTACCTAGACCACCAGCGAGCTCTCAGAAAACACTGGTGACTGACAAAGTGAGTCATCTGGGCACTGGCAGGAGGCAGTATGGAGCAGAGATGATCAGATAGGGTCCCTGCCCTCCGGAATTGAGCTTGGTGGAGAGGCAGACTGCTGTGAATATAGAAACTGTAATAAAGACTGTGTGTGTGTGTGTGTGCGCGCGTGTGCGTGTGCGCGTGCGTGTGCGGAGCACTGCATTCCCAGGAACATGCGCTGCTAACTGTGGCACACTCTCCATATGATTAATGTAATCAATCCTCAAACAATTTTGAGGATTGATTTTCTTTTGAGGACTGATAAGCTTTTCTTACTATTTGTTGTTGTTAAGTGCCGTCGAGTCAATTCCAACCCACAGCAACCCTGTATAGGGTTTCCAAGGAGCAGCTTGTGAGCTTGAACCACAGACCTTACAGTTCAAACGACTTTGCAGTCTGACGCATTAGACCACAGCGCCACACCCTGTTTTATAGATGGGGAACTGAGGCTTAGGAGAGCCTGTTTGTCCAAGGATGTAGGGCTAGTATATTTCAACCTTGATATTTCCCACTTGAGGATCCCCAAACTTAACCTTTTAGGAGAAAAGATCAGGTGATTTTCTGTCATAAAGATTACAGCCTACCGCAAGAACACTGGTAGAGCTAATAGAAGAATTTAGCCAAGTTGACCTTCCAACAAACCCAAATCACCTGAGTTTCTACACACCGGCAATGAGAAAACTGAAAGGGAATTAAGAAAAGAATTCCATTTACGATAGCCTCTAAGAGAATAAAATACCTAGGAATAAATCTAGCCAGGGGCTTGAAGGACTTATACAATGGAAATGATAAAACACTGCTGGAGAAGATTAAAGACTTTAAGTAAGTGGAAAGATGTTCATAGATTGTTAAGATGTTAATACTACCCAAAGCAATCTACATTTTCAACACAATCCCGATCAAAATTCCAACAGCCTTTATAAAAAAGGTAAAACAAATCCCCTGCTTTATCCGGAATAACTAATGCAATGTTGAAAGAGAAAGGCAAAGGCGTAAGACTTCCTGGTTTTAAAACAAAAGGAGTCTGGTGGTGCCGTGCATTAGGTGTTGGGCTGCTAACCTCAAGGTCAGCAGTTCAAACCCACCTACTGCTCCTCAGGAGAAAGAGGAAGCTGTCTGCTCCCGTAAAGATTTACAACCTCAGAAACACTACGCAGGGTTGCTGAGTCAAAACCAGCTCCATAGCACACACCCAACCAACTAGGGTAGCTGAAGAGTCTGTGACGTTGTAGGATAAGTCCTCGACCTCAAGGTCGGTGGGTCAAACTCGCCAACTGCTCCTCCAAAACCCAATACTGGGTCGCTATTGAGTCGTAACCAATTCCACGCCACACAACAACAACAACAAAGAATGGCTAAGGAGTTCTGCTGTGGTGCTGAAAGATAAGCACTAGACTGTAACCGCAAGGTTGGCAGTTCAAACCCACCAGCCGCTCCTTGGAAACCTTATACAGGGTCGCTGAGTCGGAACCAACTCCATGGCACTTAACAACAACAGGGTGGCTTATGGAGTCCTGTTGTGGCGCTGTAGGATAAGCACTGAACTGCTAATTAGATAGAAGGCCTGTAGTTCAAATCCACCAGCTGCTCCTTGGAAACCCTATGGGTCAGAACCGATTTCACAACATTTAACAACCGGATGGCTATGGTTTAAGCACTGGGCTGCTAACTTCAAGGTTGGTGGTTCAAACCCACCAGCCACTCCAAGAGACAAGGATGAAGTGATCTGCTCCCTTAAAGATTTACAGTCTCGGAAGCCCTAAGGAGTCGTTCTATCTGTCCTAGAGGGTCGCTGGAGTTGAAACTGACTCGGTAGCAGTGAGTGGGGTAGATGAGGAAGGCTGAGATCAGAAAGATAGAAAAACACACAAATGTTGGTGGGAATGTCGGGAATATGTACCCCTTATCCATGGCTGGTAGAAATGTAAACGGGTCTAACCTTTGAGGGCAATGATGGGGTAATTCCTCAACAAAACAGAACTGTGTTGTGGTTAAGTCTGTTCTGACTCAGAGCGACCCTGTAAAGGCTTTCTGAGGAGTGGTTGGTGAGCTTCAACTGCCGACTCTGCGGTTCAAACTGACCTTGCAGTCGAGCGCATTAACCCGCAGTGCCACACCAGGACTCCATATGAGCTACTATATGACCCAGTAACTCCACTCTTCTAGAAATATACCCAAAAAGCTTGAAAGCAGAGACTCAAACCGAGCCTTGTGTGCCAGTGTGGACTGTAGTACTATTCATAGCTGAAAGGTAGAAGCAACCTAAATGCCCACGAACGGATTAGTGCACAAACAAAACGTGGAACATACAGCCAATGGAACACTACTGTGCCAGCTGGTGGTGTTAAGTGCCATCAAGTCAGTTTTGACTCATGGCAACCCTGCATATGGTTTCTGAGGGGCCACTGGTAGGTTTAAACCAACCAACTTTGCAGTTAGCAGTCCAGTGCTTATCCTGCAACTCCACTCAGCCAGTAGGAAGGAGAAATGAAATCTTGATACATGTGACAATACAGCTGGGCTTTAGGGCATGACGCTGAGTGAAGTATGTCAATCACAAAAGGACAAATATTGTTTGACCTCATTTCCTGGGTTGCTAACCCCAAGGTCAGTGGTTCAAATCCACCAGTCGCTCCTCTGACACAGGGTTTCTATGAGTTGGAACCAACTCAACGGCACTTAACAACATATAAAAATACAAGAAAAGGCTAGCATAGAGAAAACGCGACGTATTAGTGGTTACCAAGAGTGGGGGTGGGGGAGGAAAGGGGGAGATTAACAATAATGGGGAAATTGAATTGAGAAAGGGGAGGGCTACCGATTGTCGTTGCTATCAGTAAATTGTACAGCTGTAAAAAGTTGAGTGGGCAAAAGCTGTATGCTAGATATATTTCCGAGTATATATCTGCTGAAACTGCTTATGGGATTTGGTTCCTTGATTTGGAGGTTTAGGGTCATGGTTTCAGGAAATATCCCAATTAACTCATGTTCAGTGTTTCTGTACCATCTCCTAGTTTGTTGTGTAGTGCCTGGGATCTTAAAAGCTTGTCAGTGACCATCCCAGGCAGACAGTGAAGTCTTTATTCACCAGGAGAAATAGAGGAAGGAGGAGAGTCAGGAACAGGAGCTGGACATGGAATGTGTGGGTAACTGCCTTCTTTGCCATGAGAACAGGAAAAACTGGATGGTGCCCAGCTACCATTACTGAACTTTCTGATAAAAGATTCCTTTGATGAATCCTGATTAAAACAGGGGAAAATGCAGACCAGAATTTCATTCTCATCAACTTCAGACTTTCTGGAGTCATGGAGTTTGCATGAACCCCTGAAACTATTGCCCTGAGATCATCTGTAAACTTTAAACCAAAAATGCCCCCTTTAGTCTTCTTAAAACCAAACAATAGTAAAGAATGTCTGCCTTGAGCATTGTACACTTTTAAGGACTATCTAGCATCAAAGGGACAACAACAACCTACAATTACATGGGAACCCTGGAGGTGGGCAGTGAACTTCTGCTAATAGGGAAAGAACCGTTCAGAAAAGGGGGGTGAAAATGACTGCAAAACTTGCCAAATGTAATCAATATCATTGAATTGTGCAGGTAGAAACAGCTGAATTTATGTAGGTTTTGCTATGTAACAAAAAAAAACAAAAAAGAGGCAAGAGTTCAACTCACTTATTTAAGCCAAGTTATTAGGAAATATTGGGGTCCTGATGTGGCACTGTGGGATACAGTACTGGACCACAGATTCCGTTTGAACCGCACAGTCGGTGGTTCAAACCCACCAGCCGCTCCTTGGAAACCTTATACAGGGCTGCTATGAGTCAAAACGACTCAGTGTCACTTAACAACAAAAGTAACAGTCAGGAAACATCAGCTATTAGAGAAAAACAACATGCTGGGTAGGGGCTTAGGACAAAAGAAGGGTACACTCTATAGCATGGATAAACATACGACCACACAATGGGCCATACGAACAAGATGGCCACCATGACTTGGAGTCAACTTTTAGTCAACAAGCCAAGGATTGTGATCGGTGGACTGGTCTCATGGAGCTCGTCAGAATTCGTGCTGTTGAACACATGGTAAACCAATGTGTCAGAACGCACTAGACATGCAGAGCCGGGCCACACGGTTGTCCACAATGGATTAGAATATTTTAAAACTGGTGCTTCACCACAAACACTTTTAGAGACATCGCTCTATTTCATCCCAAATAAATACAAGAGTTTCCAGTGGTCCAGAAGACCAGAAACATGACTAACTTGTCAACTGTTGTTGTTAAGTGCTGTCCAGTCATTTCTGACTCAGTGACCCTGAAAAGGGTTGTCTGAGGAACGGCTGACGAGTCTGAACCACTGACAACAATGCGGTTCAAGTTGACCTTGCGCAAGGTCCACTGCATTATCCTGTAGCGCCACACCAGAACTCCAACTTGTCAATACACACATCCCACAATAAATCAACATTTCCATCATGGGGGAAGGAGGGAGATGACAGCCTAGGAAACCCTATGGAGCAGTCTGACTCTGTCCCGTGTGGCTGCCACCAATTGGAATTGCTCAGCAGACAACAGACTTGTTTCTCTTGCCTCCAAGTTGGTTCCAACATGTCGTTCCTCTGTCCAAATAACCCCTTTCTCTTGGTTGCCTGGCAAATTTCTTCTTCATCCTTTAAGACTCAGCTTACACATCTCCTCCCTCCTGGAAACTCCCTCCCTTTCCTGGCATTCCAGGCAGAGTCAGGGGGCCCTTTGCTGGGTCTTCCCAGCCCCATGGGAAGTTCCCATCACAGTCCCAACCCCCCTGGGCTGTTACTCTTTGATAACTTGTCCATCTTCCCCACAGGCTCATGAGTTCCCTGTTGCTCTCTATACAGATCCGATGGCACTGGGTACCACAGGCCCACCTGAAATTCTATGTTGTCGTTGTTAGGTGCCACTGAGTTGGCACCGACTCATCGCGACCCTATGCACAACAGAACAACACATTGCCCAGTCCTGCGTCAACCTCACAACTATTGAATTCTGTATGTTCTCTTGAAATCCTGGTGTGACCCTGTGGGTTAATGCGTCTGACTACAAACTTTGAACCTCAGGTTCAGCATTCAAGTTCACCAGTCACTCCTCAGAAACCCTAAGCAGGGTCGCTATGGGTCTAAACCGACTCGATGGCACTTAACAACAACACCATATGGTCTCTTAGTCTGTGTCCTTCTCTCCCATCAGAATGGGAGCTCCACAGGGACAAGGGTTTTTTAATCAGTTGGTTCCCAGCTGCATCCCATCATCTAAAATGAGGCGTGGCTTATGATAGGTGATCCATGAGTATCTGCTTTTACTTACAGAACTGAGTGTCTGGCCTTCCTCTCCCAGCCCCCAACACACCTAACTCAGCAACAGATCCCCCCCGCTGGGCTCTCAGTGGCCTGGGCTGTAGCACTTGGAACATGGACCCGAAAAAGGTCAGTGGTTTCCAGTCTCAGCTCCTTCCTCTCTGTGTGGTTTTGAGCAAGGGTCTAAACCCTTCCGTGCCTCAGTTTCCTTTTGTGTCTAATAAGAACAATAACAGTACCGATCATAAAGGGTGATTGTTATTGTTGTTAAGTGCCGTCGAGTCGGTTCCGACCCACAGCGACCCTGTATAGGGTTTCCAAGGAGCGACGGGTGAGCTTGAACTGCCGACCTTGCAGTTCAAACTGACTTTGCAGTCCAGCACATTAAAATGAGGTAAAACATGTTAAGTGGACACAGAGAATGTGCTCCCGTTTGATTATGGGCATTTTCCCTCAGGCAGCTTCTGCTATCCACTCAAATGGAGTACATGGCCCACCATCATCTGTCCAAGATACTACAGTATCCCTGAGGGACCACACAAAAACCACACAGCCTGGTGTTACATTCCACAGACTTTTTCTAACCTCCAGTCACTCACTCTAGAAACACATGCCAAAGACCTGCCCTGTGCCAGGCCTTAACACCCAACCCAAACCCGGTGCTGTCATGGAGCCAACCTATAGGACAAAGGAGACCCTAGAGGGCATGGAGACCGTGTAGGACAGAGGAGAACTGCTTCTTAGGGTTCCTGAGACTGTAAACCTTCATGGGGGCAGGCAGCCTCATCCTCCTCCCATAGAGTCACTGCTGGGTTTGAACGGCCAACCTTGCCGTCAGCAGTCCAACACCTAGTTCACAGTATCACTAGGGCTACTGAACCAGGCACTAAGGACCGAAACGTGAACAGAACAGACACCATGCCCTGCTTGGAGGGACGTGACATTCCGGTCAGGGAACACAGACAACCAATAAGCAAACATACATGAATGTGATTTCACAAGTACAGATTCTGGGGCCCAGGACATGCTAATGCACATTCAAGTTTGAGAACTACGAGATAAAGAATAAGGCCACCAAGTGTGGGAATGGTTTCTTTACAGAGAGGGCCAGCAAATGTTTCATTAGGCTATTTCACTATTGAGCTGAGCCCCAAAGGATCAGGAACCAACCTACCAAAAGGTGAGAGAAGACTGTTCCAGCCTATAGGAACACAAAGTTCAAGGACAGGGTCTGAGCTTGGCAGGTATAAAGAAGGGGAGTGGGTGGCCACTGGGGTTGGAGAGGAAGGAGAAGAGGTCTGATGGGTCCTGGTTAGTCATTTGAGCTTCGCTTCCGAGGGCACTGGTGAGCTATGGAAAGGTTCTAAATGAACACCTCTTCTCCACCTCATTTTCTCACCCTTCTGTTCTATCCGCCGGCAGCCACATGGCTGGGGCAGGAAGTCTAAACACAGGTACAGCACACTCCAACAAGGCAGGGCCAACGCACCCAGCTCTTGTTCCTTGGCAGGGCAAAGAGGAAGTGCCCAAGGGCGGGCACAGACGGAGAGCTGCCCAACCCCAGCCAGCCGTGGCAGACGGAAGGGAGGATCCCAAAGAGAATGGAGGACCGTTATAAGGGGTGGGGAGCAGAAGAGAATGGGGTCCCTGCCTCTGGTCACAGAGGGACAGATATACACACAGGTGTGAAGAAAAGGAAAACTCAAGAATTTCAAAGTGTCACAGACCAACTGGACTCCCTTAGAGCGGTAAGGAGACACACACACACACACACACACATTCAACTGCAGAGAACCACAGAGAGTGCTAGATAAATTATAGTCACAGAGGGCCACCCAGAACAATCACCAAGAGCCCCAGCAAACATACATACACACAATCCCAGGTAGATCGAATTATGTGGTCAGACATCATGTATGACTGAGTGCCCCTCTAGCCATGTCATTGTGTTCACATCCGCTGGGGAAGACAAAGCAAAGGCTGCTTTCACGTGGCAAGGGATGAAGGTGTCGGCTGCTGTCAGTCTGGTGGAGAGACGCAGGACGTTCATGCAGCCGTGAAGGACCCAGGAATAACAGCTCCTCCGCCCACCACCACATACACACTTTGCTACACAGCGGTTAGGTACGTGAAGTCATTCCTAGGGCATGCTTTATAAACTGGACCAGGGAGAAAATGTCATTTGTTATTACCGCCTCCCAAAAATCAAGCCTACACTCAAGGTCTCAGCAGGAAGGTTCCCAGGCCCAGAGCGGGCTACTGGGGTCCTCTCACAATCTTTAAACATACACACACTCACAAAACCACAGAGTCCCAGCTGCACATACTGAGGCTGAGACACACAGCAATGGCATGAATAGAAGCCCACAGGAACTTTCATTCACACACAGATGGAATCTGAGATAAATTATACACACAATCAGAGATCACAGCCACAGGCAGATTCAGAGGTAAATTATAGGCACACTCAGAGGGTGTGGCAGCACACACAGAGCCCCAGACCCACATGTACACACATCACAAAGTCACAACTAGACACACACAGGTAATTGATAGAGCTACACATGAAAGCAGAGGTAAATTACACACACACAGAAGCTCACAGCCGCCTGCACAACAGGACCCTCAGATACTCGGATACACATCGGAACCACAGATGGAACGAGATACATTGCACTCAGAGACCACCATCAACGATCACAGCCACAGATGTGCAGACACTACCAAGCAACCTTCAGACATACAGGAACTTAACACCCACACAGATGTATGTAATCGGAGGTCAATTACAGGAACAATCACAGAGGCTCCCAGACACACACACACAAAGTCACTTACAGCAACACACGGAGCCACAGATGGAATGGAGTGGTAAATTACACACACAAAAAGCCAACGAGGTTCATAGCTATTTGCGCACCAGGAGTTCCAGACCTAAGTACACACACACTTCTACGACGCAATTCATAATGAGAAACACACTTTCAGGCTGGGAGGATCAGTTCCGTGTTTAAACTACCCCCGAGGGTCTCAGGCCACGCGTAAGTTCCCATCCCCCAGCAACTCCGATATAAAGACAGACAGGGTCCGTGGGAGCCGCATCGGTCAGGGAGGGGGCTCCGCCAGGTCTGCGGCCCGTGAGTCCTGGCCCCGTGGGCGCTTGCTTCCGCTCAAGGACCAGGGTCAGCACGGAGCCCACCCCTCACTTCCCAGAAAGGGGCGAGCCAGGCCTGGGGGCCTTTCTCGTAGGCCGCGTTCCAGGCGAGATGCGCTCTCGGGCCCCCAGCCAAGACCCCGCAAACCCGGTTGGCATAGCACCCTGGTTGTGGTGAGCCAGACCTATAGGCGTCCTCCCCGCTGTCCGCAGTGGTCCTTTTTACCCCTGTAGGCCACCTTGCCCCACCAATCCTCATCCCCCATCTTCCCCTGTTGCCCCCTTGCCAGACCCCACGTGCACAAACTCCCATACTTCGGCTCCAGGTGCGAACCCCGAGCCAAGTCCACTGAGCCCGCCACCAGGCCGCCTCCCCAGTGCCCCCAGCCTCCCCCGTGAGCCCTTGGGCCGCCCAGGTTCTTACTCGAACATGGATGCGGTGCGGCGGCGCGCCCAGCCGTAGGGCAGGGCTGGACCGGCTGCGCGAGGCTGGAGTGTGCGGGGCGTCCCCGCCGGGCACGGGCCTGGCCTGCCTCGGCCCCAGCCCCCACCCGACCCAGCCGCCCGCACAAAAGGCCTGAGCCTCGGAGGCCGCCGCAGCGTCAGCGACACCCCCTTCCTGCCCCCGCCTCGTTGCGTCACGGCGCCGCCCCCAGCCCGGGAGGGAAGGAGGCAGGGGAGTGGCGGCTGGAACGCGTCGGAGGCCTAGATGCAAGCTGCAAGGGTGAAGAGAGAGTCGGAAACATGAGGGGGACGGGGAGACTGAGGAAGAAAGCATGGGGGATCCACCGAGAGACTAGAGTGAGAATTAGCGGTACTGGGACTTGGGGAGCAGGGAGTGGGGGTGGAGGAAGAGAGCTCTTGAGAGAAGGTAGGAGGGGTGACTGGGATGAAAGCGAGGGGAGCGGGCCAGAGATTCTGAGAGAGGAAGAGAAAGATATGAGACAAAGAGTCCAAGCCGGGAGACAATAATCAACAAGAGGCAGGGAGAAAGAAATAAGGAGCAAAGCGGGATGAAGGGGAGACTCAGACAGTATTTTAAAACCACAACCACCACCGAATATCGTGATGGCTGCTGCCTTTGCACAGACTGGGTGTTCTCTTCTTTGGTACCCAGAAAGGGATTTCCAGCTCCAAATATCCCCCTGGCCAGAGGTTCCCCCACCCTCCTAGGGAAGAACCTGGGATGCGGTTGGTGGGTGGGGGTGGAAGGGAGGTGGTGAAGTTAGGAGAAAGGGTGGTGTTGAGCAGAGAGCAGTGGGTGAAACTGAGGCAGGCAGGGAAAGGGGGCGGGGCCCATACCTTCCTGTGTCCCCCACCCCCACTCCACCCCATTGCTTTAGAGCTCCGGGTCCTGGCCCCAGGAAGTTTCTAGGTCCCCAGAGACTGCCTAGTTTCCCCTTGTCTGCCTAGTCAGACCAAGTTAGAATCCAGCGCCCTGGACTCTAATCCCCGGGGCGATGGCAAACTCTGGGCTAAGAAGGCAGAAGAGCGAAGGAAGGCATCATCAGCCCGTTGTACCGACAAGGAAGCCTGGCCTCAAAGATGAGAAGTGACCTGCCCCAGTTACCCAGCAGGTAGGCTGCAGAACTGGACGCCAAGTTGCCTGCTGATGTCTGAGAATGCAAGGTTCTGAGTCCCACCTCACAGCAAGGAACCCACAGGAAGAGCCCCCCAGCCCTCAACACACAATGGAACTTGGCCCCCACACTTCCTCAGGGGAGACTGGCCCTCTTTTTTTGAAAAACCGCCATTGCCCTCCCCTCCATCTCTCACCCCAAACCCGTCCCAGCCCCCACTTCTCCATTATTGGCTAGTAGTTGCCGGGTTCTTCCTGCTTCTCAGGCCCCAAAACTCACAGTCCTCCTTGACCCCCTTTCTCCCTCACACCAATATCTAATAAGTCTGCAAACCCCGTAGGCTCTAGCTAAAAAATCTAACTAGAATCCAAACTCTCCCCCTACCCCACCCCTACCCCAGTCCAGTCCTAATCCCCCTACTGGCTAGTCCCACCCACCCCCATTAGAGCAACTTCCTGCCTGTTCTCTGTGTTCCTGTCCCAGCCACAACAGTTTGCTCCCCACATGTTGTTGTTGTTAAGTGCCATCAAGTGGTTTCTGACTCATAGTGACCCTGTATAGGGTTTCCAAGGAGTGGCTGGTGAGTTTGAATTGTCGACCTTGAGGTTGAAACCGTCCTTGAGGTCTACTGTTTATTCTACAACCACACCAGAGCTCCTCCCTACACTTTTTGTTGTTATGTGCTATGGAGTTGATTCTTACTCATAGCGACCCTGTACAGGGTTTCCGAGGCTGTAAATCTTTACAGAAGCAGAAAGCCTCACCTTTCTCCTGCAGAGCAGGCTGGTAGTTTCGAACTGCTGACCTTGAGGTTCGTAGCCCAATTCATAACCACTACGCTACCTGTGAACTCCAGAGACTGGTCAGGGCCCTTCTTGGCTCAAAACTTTCCCCTGGTTGCACCTTACTCTAGGTAAAATCAACCGCCCTTATCACAGCCCCCAAGGCCCTACTGATCTGGCCTTATTTATCACCTCTTTGACCTCCATCTCCCCCTCAGTCATTCCTGTTCAGCAACTTAACCTCCCTGGTGTTTTTCTAAGACATCCAGCACAGCACATTCCTGCCTCTGGACCTTTGTACTTGTTCCCTTACATAGCAAACTCTTTCCCCAGAACTTCACAAGATGTTCTTCACCCTCATCCTTCCACCATTTCTCGCTGTTCCATGGCTCTCTTTATATTTTTCTTTGCCTGTACTTCTTTTGAAATACTTTCACATTTTTAATTAAGAAATATAAGGGCAAGTCCAAAAATATTGCTGCTAGGGATCCAGTTCATACATACATGGGTTTATTCCACACAGAACAAGCTTAAACATCACTGCAATCAGTGGATGACTACAGGCAAGTTCTTGTAGTAAGACATTTGTCTTAGTTTTGTTAGGGGACCTTCAAGAAAAAAGGATACTTTTTGTTTCAGGGTAAAAGCTATTTTGAGATCAGAATTATTATCAAATTATAGCACAGCTTAAGTGGACATCTTCCCAAATCACTGAAGCTTTGAAGCAAGTTTATAGGAATGCTGCTTCATATAAAACAACATTTTTTCAGATGGATCAAACATCTAAAGAAAGCTTGAGAAGAACTGAAAGATGAGTCAAGACAGGAAAAACCACTGACCTCAATAACTGAAGTGGCTGAAGTCCAGAAACTGGTAGAAGAAGAGTGACTGACCATGGATGGACACCTACGGAAGTTGGTATCTCACATTGTTCAACATTTTCAATTTTAAGCAAACATCTTGGCTGCAGCCAACTTTTTGCTTAACGGGTGCCAAACTCATGTGCAAACATCAGCTAGCTCAAAGAGCTGATCTTTCCATCTGTATTTAAAGCAAGACTGAAGCTAATAAAGATGATTTTATGGAATAAACCATAACTGTAGACAAGTCTATGACTTACCTATATGATCCAGAAAGCAAGATCCAATCAAAACAGTGGCTTCCAATGGGATTTGCTGGGCCAGCAAATTTTAGAGGACCTTTGGTAGCATAGTGGTTACAAATCGGGCTGCTAACTTCAAGGTCAGCAGTTCGAAACTACCAGCTGTTCCATAGGAAAAAGATGAGGCTTTCTGCTCCCATAAAGATTTACAGGCTTGGAAAGGGTCGCTATGAGTCGGAACCAGCTCCATGACACACCACCACTACCACCAGTCTTGACAAGGGCACAGTACATTCACGGCAGCTTAATAAGTTTTAAGAAAATTGAAAACTACATTGGTAAGGAAAAGTCCAGGAAAGTTGTCCTGCCAAGAAATTGTTTTTCATTACAACAATACACCTGTTCATTCTTTGAGGGTACCAAAGGCTATTTTATGAGAATTTCATGGAAAAACCTTACCCCATCCACCCTACAGCCCTTTTCTTACCCTTCGGATGGCTTTTTGTTCCCCAAACTCAACAATTGAAAAGAAACATGAGGACTTCCAGACAAGATGGCGGAGTAGGCAGATGCACTGAGCGGCCCATTGCAACAGGACATAGGAGACCAAGTGAAACAGAGACAGGCGGTGATTCTGGAATCTTGAGTTTCAGCAGCTAGGACAGAGAAGTAGACTGAGTGCCTACTGGAAGAGAAAGCTGAACAGGAGCAATGAGAGAGAAGGAAAACAGTGGGCTGTCAGCTGCCTGAAGTGGCTAGGCCATCTTGATCTTTGTAGGTGGCCTAGAGGTAGAGGACAAGGCAAGAGATTGGTGACAAGGGGGAGTGCGCCCTCCTGGTAGTTGAGGGCGTGACCAGACCCCACCCTTGCTAGTCCAGTGTCCAGTAGCACCCCTCCTACACAACCTCTGCTCTGCCTGGAATCAGACGCTGAGCATACCACCCCTGTTTCTAGAGACAGGTGAACCACCCCAAACTATGCTATATAAACAGTGAACAGAACACTGTGGCCACTTTCAGTCTCTATCACATCCACCAGGAGATAGGTGGTGAGTGCCTATGAACACACCAACATGTCATTGCTGTTGTTACGTCCTTTGGAGTCAGTGCTGACTCATAGTGACCCTGCATAGGGTTTCTGAGGCTGGAAATCTTGACGGGAGCCAAAAGCTTCCTTTTTCTCCCACCGAGCAGCTGGTGAGTATGAACTGTCCACTTTGTGGTTAGCAGTCCAGTGCTTATCCTGCTACACTGCTAGGATTCATATACGCTGACATACAATTAATTGTCAATTACATATAAATACAACCATAACGTCTCAGAGAAAATAGATATTTTCAGCTTACTTGAATGCCTCAAACAAGTGACAAAAATAGAGTCAGAAAATACAATACTAGAAATGGTATCAAAGTACTTGATAAAGAATTTTAAAGAATGGTACTTAGGTACCTTCAAGGAATTGAGAGAGCGATCAAGAAAACTGCAGATGAAATCAAGGAAAACACAGACAAAAGTTTAGAAGGATGACAGCAAACACTATAAGAACAAACTGACAAAATAAATGAAAAATTGGAAACCATGCAAAAATAGCAATTAGAAACCCAGAAAATTAATACTAAGACTTCAGAAAGAAATAATACATTGAAAGAACACAGGAGTAGAATTGAATCAGTGGAAGGCCAAATTACTGAGCTTTAAGGAAAATCTCTCAATATTCATCTACTGGAAGAACAATCAGAAAGGAACCAAAAAAAAATCTGAAGAAACCCTAAAATTTACATGGAACACTATCAAGAGGAATAACTTGTGTGTGATTGGAATTCTAGAATAGGAACAGACAAAACAACAGAGAAAATTGTCAAAGACTTGTTGGAAGAAAACTTCCTAACATCATGAAAGATGAGAAGGTATACATTCAAGAAGCTGAACAATCTTAACACAGGATAGACTTGAAAAGAAAATCACCAAGACATAATCAAAACCAAAGATGAAGAAAGGAAAAACTAAGTTACCTACAAAGGAAAACTAGCAAGACTAAGCTCTGGTTTCTCAGCCGAAGCCATGCAGACGCGACAATACGATGTCA